CTTTTCTTTGTAAAAACTTCAATTAAATTTCAATAAAGTTAAAGGCATGGCCTCACTGTTAATATTTAAAAAAAAAATAAAATAAAATCATCTAAAATTACTATTTGTGTATATTTTTTCCTTTTCGTAACTATTTCTACTATTTTCTGTTGAATCTTTTTTCCTATTGTCTTGTCATTTGGTAGTATGTAAACTCCTAATACTACTAATTCAAATTGCTTAAAATATAGTATAAGTTCTATCAAATATTCATTTATCTTCTTAACTGCACTCACATGCTTTTCCCATTGTTCATTAACTAAGATGCCTATACCAGATCCTTTTTTCTTGTCTTCTGCTGCACTTAACCAAAACCCAACATAACTCTTATTTGCTGCATATGTTAGAAATCTTCCTTCTCTTTCTGTAAAATTCATTTCTGTGATCCCAAGTATTGTAATTTCTTTTTCTTCTGCCCATTCCATTAGGTTCTCTAGTTTCCATTTCTTGGTTTTAAGTCTATTAATATTGTGACATGTTATTTTTATTTCTTTTCTTCCTTGTTTCCATTTTTCTTCTAGTTGCTCCTTTCTTGTTTCTGTGACTTCTACTTGTTCTTCCTTTTTTGTCTTTATGTTTTTCCTATAGTTAGAAGATACTTCTATACTGTCTTCTTCGAATATTCTTCTTTCTCTATATAAAAACTCTCTGATCTCCTGGTCAATACTTTTATATTCAACTGGGGTACCCTTAGGAGCAGTAGGCTAGGCTATTTCATGTTGTACTTCTTGCCTATTCTAGTCTTTCAAGTCTTTCTAAAATTCGATTTAAGATATCATTTGTATATATAGCTTCTTCTTGTGTCTGGGTTTTGAGTTCTGCTGTTTCTCTTCTGTGTAGTTTTTCTTCTTCTTCAAGTAGATTTGTATATCTTGTTTTATTTTTTGTATTTCGATCTTGTATACTACTACTGCTTGCTGCTGCTTGATTCTCTATACTTCTATTTTATTCTTTCTTTTTTTTGTTTGTATTTAGCTTGAATTCTTGTTCTTCCTTTTGGCTGTTGCTCTCTTCTGTATCAGAAGTTTGGCTAAATCTTTCCTAGCTTCTTTTTCTTTTAAGATCTTTTGTTCATTCTATTTCTTTTTTTTTTTTACCTAATACAGTCAGAAATTAATATACATAAATGGTTTCGATTGGGCTGTTTTCATATCCTTTTCTGTTGCAAACATAACTGTTGCTATTCTTCTTTGATTTCTGTTTCTATTTGAAGGTATATGAACTGACTTTACTCTCTTGTTCTTTAGACTTCATAGTAATAGAACTTCTGAGACACTTCTAGGTAATTCTGTTAATTTTGCTGTATAATTTCTTTGTCTTTCTTTAGCTTCATGATTTTCAATTCCTTTAGTCACTTGTACCAGTTTGTTACTATTCACTGGTATGGTCTAAGGAATGTCTTCATATGTTTCTTCTGTCTTAACTACTGCTAAGGCCTTATATTTTGATCTTTTAATTCTTACTATATGGGCTTTTTTGAATCTTCTACAGATGTATTCTACCTCTTTTTTGTTTATATTTGTTGGTAAGTCCCAAATCATTAGATAATTCTTGTCTTTAGATTCTTCATTTATTTCATATTGGTTTTCATTTGTTTTGGTTTCATTCTCTTTCCATTTCTGTTTTTCTTCTTTAGTTCTCATTTTGCTATTACTTCTCTTTTGATATTTCTCACTGTGTTGTGTCTGCTTCTTCATGCTGCCTTCTTTTTTTTCAGGTATCATTTTGTACCAGTTACTCTCCTTTTTGCTAATTTTTTGTATTGCTGTATTTCTGCTATATTTGCAGTTAAAATTTACTTCTATCCATAAGTTTCCTCTTTTGAAAACTTCTCTAACATCTTTAACATGTGCATTGTTTTTTAATGACCATCTAATAAATTTTATATGCTCTTCTTTTGTTTTTTCTGATACATTGTATGCTGATATATTCGCAAGCAAACTGTTGTTTTGGTTACAGTTTCTTTTGTTTGGAGCCCATATACTTTCTTCTAGGGGTTCTTCAACTACATCAATTTCTTTTTCAACTTCTATTTTAATGGCTTCTTGTTCTTGCTCTTCCTTTTGTACTTCTGTGTCTCTTTCTTGTATAAACAAAATTTCTTTTTCTTGATTATTGTTTGTCAGACTTATCTTTTCTTCTTGGTTTCTGTTTGCTGCTGTTGACTGTTAATGTACCTCTTCCTGTTTGTCTTGTGTTTGTTTTGTTATAGGTTCTTCTATTATAATAACATTTTGTCTTGTTTCATAATATTGATTTTCTTATCTGGCTGTTCTTCTTCTGCTTTCTTGATTATTTCTCTTGTTATACACAGCAAGCCAACCTCTAATGCATCTTGTTCTGTTAGCATAGCCACAATTTTATCTTCTTTGTCTGGTGTTGAAATAATTTTACTAGTTTGGTTAAAAAACACCTTGTTGTATATGCTATTTGCTGCCAAATATGCTCTTTTGATATAAGTTGTTATTAGGCTTTCTTTCCGATTTTGTGTGCTACTCATATTTTACTTAGTTATTAGTGGCTCCTATTTACTATTTGTTCTAACACTTTCTATGTCTTATGCCTATTACTATCCAAATTGGATTTGTTTGTATGTCTGTCAATACACATGTCTGTTTGTTTATCTATTTACGTGTTGCTGTAATCTACAGATCGATGTTTTCAGATTACAGAGAATTTTCCAAATTTCACTTTTCCAGATGTCAACCGAAATATTTTTCTTCTCTATCTTTCCTACAAGCTTTCTAATTTTCTACTTTTACCTTTTGTTATATATTTTTTCACAAGCTCTATCTTTTTTCTTAAGCCTGTAAGGTTGGTTTTGATAGCCGTTTTTTAGCAAACTTCTAAAATATTTTTCTACAGTTTTGTGTAAGAGTGATCAGTAGAAAGAGTTTTTTTACTTTTAGTATATTAATAAAAAACTTAATATATATAAATAAAAAGTAATTTTATAATTTTAACAGAAATCGAAATGTTTCGTAATTTATAATATATATTTAAATATATTCACAAAGTTTTAAAACTTTATTTGAAATCTAAAAACTTTTTTAATTCCTTAAAAATTTAAAAATGTCAAGCTTCATATATACTTGTTTACCTATACCTTTGCTACTAGAAATGGGTTGAGTAAACATATGACTAAATGTATTTGAAAGGTTGATGATAATAATTACATTGTTCAGCAATCTTCCAAAAATATTCACAATTATTCAAATATTATTGAAGCATTCCAAACTGATCTTTTCGATTTAGAAGAAAAACATTTAATAGTAGTTTTTTAGCTAAAAAAATTTCATTTAAAAATATTAATTTTTAAAATATTTTAAAATCTTCTAAAAATATTTGTTGCAGTTAGAAACAGTTCTTCTAAGACTTTTAGGTCCCGGATTTCATGGTTAGAGGGATAGTAGTAGAATAAATAAATAAATAATAAATAAATAAATAAATATATAGTAATAAGATAATTATGAATAAGCCTTGAACTCTATTAATATCGAAATACGGTTTCGTGATTATGTGAGTAAGTGATTGAATCCCGGGTAATTTATTAATCAGGATCGATCGGAAGGATTATAGTATGATCGAAGATAAATTAAAGATCAATTAAGCTGCATAATAAATATGTAATTAAGAAAGTCAAATGCTGCACAATCTATGAATTACATAGTTAATTAAGAAAGTCTAAGATCATATAATAAATTTATGATATAATAAAATAGTCAAAATAAGAATATAAAAGTGCAGCAATAAGAAAATAAAGAGTAGTATCTTTTAATCCAAATAAGAAAAAAGGAAGAGCAAAAGAACTTATATATATTTCTTAGGGCAGCACTGTCTTCTTGGTCCAAAAGTGAAGTTCAGGGATCAAGACGGCCATGACAGAAGAACCTGGGCACATGCAGAAGTGTATTTTAAAGGTCATTAACAGGATAAAAAAAAAAAAAAAAAAAAGAGAATTGAATTTACCTACAAGCCATGTAATAAATACCCTGGTACCGGAATGTAAATAGGTACTGCGCAAATAAAAAAAAAAAAAATTTTTTAGTCGTAAATCGAAGTGTTAGATGAGCAAACTCAAAAGCATACTAAATAAATACCTTTTGAAGTCTATACAGTAGTAGATAACAATAGATGGGAGAACTTGCATGATATCCAGTAACAACAGTCTGAACAATCATGAGAGTATTTGATCCTACAAAACCTGTCTACACTGGGTATGAGAACATTGAAGAATTTTTAGTCTACTTTGAAGCATATGCAGCCTCTAAGGATTGGGATGATAACAAAAAAAGTCTGGTAGTCATATTACATATAGCAGATAGGCTGAAACCTTCGATAATGCAGTTAAGAAAGAATAACTCCAGTTGGAAGGACTTAAGAACAGCTATGATAAAAAGGTGGGCCACCTCATCTGACTTGAATGAAGGATTAGAGCGTTTAAAGAATATGGTACAAGAGACAGGAGATACAGTTCAGATGTATACCAGTTGTTTTGATGCATATGTTACAGAGATACAAGATCAAGTAAGAGATCTTGAAAAAAGAGAGTGGTATATTCAAGGCCTGCAAGATCCATATCGAAAAAGGGTTGCTAGATATGTATGAAGCTGCCAAAGAATTGGCAGTTAAGATGGAGAAGTATGACCGTGATAGAAAATACATTAACAAAAATCCAGTTCAAATTACTAACAATAAGAAAAGCAAGCTGGTTAATGGGGAAGCCACAAATTTTCAGCTGTTCAGAAGGTCTGTCGCATCAGTGATCAACATCCTCCAAATTCAGAAAGATTGGATCGAATGGAAACAAGCATTATAAAATTGTTAAAAAGCATGCAAACCCTTATGAAAAAGAAATACAACCTAATTCAACATAGGTCTTTTTTCCCCAATACAACACAAAATAGTGAAAATAAAACTCAGGACAGAAAATTAGTTCGAAGGTGTTATGCATGTAATCAAGAAGGGCACTTGTCATGTGACTGTCCTAATCGGTCACACCAGAACCAATCAACAAATCAATTAAATCTGAACAAAAATTGTCAAGCAAAGAATTCGGAAATGAGGAGTGCTAATGTGAGATTTTTTGAGATAATGAAAAAAGCAAGAGCAAAAGAGGATGAATACCTCATAATACAGGTAAAGGAAGATGAGGCATTATTCGATATTAGGAATCTTAGCAAAAGGCAGTGTCCAAACATAGATGACGTAAAACATGCAGTTAAAAGAAGGAAGAAAGAAGATTCGACTGAACCTATTGGAGCGAATGATAATGAAGATCCTGTTAAAGGATCAGTCATGTATATACCAATGACTGAGTTGACTCAAGAAATTGACATTCTTAAGTTAATTGCTGAAAAGAAAATAACTATCACATTGGGTCAACTGTTTAAATAGTCTCCTAAGACTCATAATGAAGTATTAAAGGCGTTGGCAAGGAAAAGGAGAGAGGAAGAAGTTCTTTTTATGAATGCGAAGATTGGAATCATACGAGAAGTTTTCGAAAATAATGAGTTAAAATTGGGCGATGTGCCAATGAGCACACCTAAAATTAATGGTGAATTGGTTTCAGCACCAGTAGACTCAGAGTCATGTTTGAATTTGATACATGAGAAATATGCACGAAAACGAGGATTTGCTTGGCAACTAGCTAATAAAGAAGAGTGAATGGCAAATGATTGTTTGAGTAAATTTGTAGAATGTATTACAAACGTTGAAGTAGATATAAAGGGCATCATCATGCATTAGAAGTTTTATGTTATGAAGACTGCAAGCTTTGATGTTTTATTAGGGATGCCCTGGCTAGTTGCATTCAAATATAGTCTAAAATGAAGGGATAACAAACTATGATGCAATGTTGAATCAGAAGAAGGAAGGGCTGCATTCGTAGCTTCAGTAGTACCAACTAGTTGGATAAATAATAAAGATGACTGAGGTGAAAAGGAGAAAGAAGACGTCAAAGAATTACTGGAAATACGATATATAGGAATTGAGATACAAGAGTTAAGGAATAAAAAGTGAAAATTAGGAGGCATCGTGGAGGGAAGCTCTAATGTCGACAACATAATAGTCAGAGAAATCGATAGTACAAACAGTAATCACGTGATCGATCGAGAGCATGAAGGAAGAATTGTGTGCTGGCAAAAAGAGAATGAAAATGATGATGGAACAATCAAGGGAATGGGACCTAAACTGGTAATGCAGCTCACGAAAGAAAATTGCAACATGATAAACATCAGTAATTCTTTGTCTGAAATAGAGAAGCAACCATTATATGAATGGTTGATTAGAGAAATACCAGACATATTTGCCTTTAATTTATCCGAAATTGGAAGGACAGATTTGGTGCAATACGAAGTTCGTACGGGAGGAAAGATGATACCTCCCATGTGCATGCGCCCTATACGAATTAATAACCTAGAACACACCAGACTATTTGAGACCACTTGAAGGAGATGTTAAAATATGGCTTATTGGAGAAGGGAATGGGACAATATGCTTACCACTGTTTTTCAGTAAAAAAGAAGGAAGGTGGCATAGGCCATTTTCGCGTAGTTAGTGACATGAGGCCTCTTAATAAATATATTATTAAAGATAGTTATTTATTGCCATTGATAAGGAATATGTTAGAAAAGGTGGCCGGCCATGATTGGCACTCAAGCATAGACACATTCAAAGGGTACTGGCAGATTCGCATCCAAGAGGAAGATCGGGACAAAGTTGCTGTCTCAACATCATTAGGTACACTCTGATATGCTGTAATGTGCATGAGTCTTAAAAATGCTAGTGAGACATTTCAACGTTTAATGGACATGCTGTTAGAAGGAAAAGAACAAAGGGAAATTGCAGGGGCATACCAAGATGATGTTGGGTTGTGGACTAATGGGTCAAAAGAATTTCATATTGAGATGATCATTAAGTTAGCCAAGAAATTTAAAGATGCCAGGTTGACATTTGTGGTGAAAAAATGCTTCCTTTTGTATAAGGAGTTGCACATGTATGGTTTCGTGGTCGACAAGATGGGAGTTAAGGCAGATCCGAAATGGGTTGAAAAAATTAGGAATTGGAAGAAGCCAACAAATCTTAAACAGGTCCAAGCATTCATGGGGGTGATAAACTATTACCAACAGTTCATAAAGGGGTTTAGCAAAATTGCAAAACCATTGACTGATTTGACAAGAATAGAAATTAGATTTCAGTGGAATAGGGAACAAATTAAGGCTTTCCACATGTTAAAAAATTATTTATTGAATGAAGCTGTATTAAAAGGGCCAGATTGGCAGGCAGCACATGATGGAGATTGTCCATATTAACTGTTTACAGATGCTTGTGACGTCATGCTAGGGGTGGTGCTGGAACAAAAAGATGAAATAAAAAAATTAAGGCCAGTGTCTTTTGAATCTCAAAAACTAAGCAAGCAAAAAGTTAATTACAGTGTGACAGAAAAGAAATGTCTAGGGATAGTTTTCGGCTGCAATGTAAATGAGCGTTATGTGGCTGGTACTATATTTGACGTATGGGTAGACCATCAAGCTTTGAGCTGGTTGTTTAATAAAGCTATGCTAAAAGGGCGTCTTATGAGATGGGTTTTAGCGCTGCAATCCTTTAACTTTCACGTATGATACAAGCTGGGTAGGAAACATGGAAATGCTGATGGGATGTCCAGATCGCCAGACCCTCCTGAGCAAGAAATAAATAGGAATGAGAAGTTTTTGGATTCGATGATAATAAATGTAAGTACAGTAAATGTTAGATCATCAGACCTAGAAGTAGTTCGTAACTATTTAAAAACCTTTTCTTGGCCCCCTGGTGTTAATGGTATAGATTTGAAATGGCTTTGACAGAAGATGCGTAAGTATTGTCTAATTGGTGATCAACTGTATAGAAGAGCAGAAGGAGGGAGACCCTCGTGAAGAGTGATATTTAGCGATGAGGAAAAAGTTAGAATCATTAAGGCAAATCATGAGGGATTAGCAAGAGAAGGTAGACATCGTGGGATAAACTTGGTAACTCAGAAAATCCTAATGAATTATGTATAGGTGACAGGAGTACTATATGAAGATGTCAAGAGCTACGTCATGTCTTGTGAAATATGTCAAAAATGTGTACCAAAAATGCCACCTGAACCGATATATGTGATGGCAACAAGTTGGATCTTCAATAAAATATACATTAATTGCATAGGACCATTGTCGTGAACAACTGCTAGGCATGAACACATAGTTGTTGCTATAGAAGATTTGATGAGTTTTGTGAAAGGCTGGGCTCTGAAAAGAAAGACTTCACAAAATATAGCCCAATTCCTATAGGAAGAAGTTATACTGCAACATGGATGCTGTGCAGAATTGGTCTTGGATTGAGGAACTGAATTTAAGAATGGCATAATAGGTGAACTTACCTCACATCTGTAGACTAGATATAATTTTTCTGGCAGTTATCATCCTAAAGTGAACAGAAAAGTAAAAAGGGCAGTTCAGAAATTAACTAGGATTCTAAAGAAGCTATGCACTGAGAAACAGAATAAATGGCATGAATATTTGCGTGAAGCAATCTGGGCTATAAACATCACAGTTAATGATTTGGGTTATTCACCTTTTCGACTGGTTTATGGTTATAATGCTGTGACTCCTATAGAATTAACGTTGGAGAGCTATCAGGTGATGACAATGAGAGAGAAATGGACAACAGAAAAATTGCTCGAATTCTGGGTGAAACAAATGAAGGATCTAATGCGTGAACTGAAAGAAGCCCGGGAAAAGAAAGATATGGTGAAATTAAAATGAAAGGAATTTATGATAAGCACAGTATTAAGGGTAAAGAGCCCATTCATATAGGGGATCTAGTACTCGTGTATGATTCTACTCTTGACAACTCGCCACGAAAATTTGATTACCGATAGAATGGACCCTATAGAGTAAAGAGAATAGGTAACCATAATCAGTATTATTTGATAGAAGTGAATGGATGTGAATTGCATGAACCTTTTACCTGGAATAGAGTTAAAAAGCTGAAAGGGAGATCAAAAGCTGCTAACATCGAACTGATCATTAATGGTGTTGACTTCGAGGACGAAAGTCAGGGGGAGTCTAGCTCCTGTCATGGTCAGGATCATTTCTCCCAAGACTTTCAGGTCCCGGATTTCATGGTTAGAGGGATAGTGGTAGAATAAATAAATAAATAATAAATAAATAAATAAATATATAGTAATAAGATAATTATAAATAAGCCTTGAACCCTATTAATATCAAAATACGGTTTCGTGATCATATGAGTAAGTAATCGAATCCTGGGTAATTTATTAACCAGGATCGATCGAAGAGATTATAGTATGATCAAAGATAAATTAAGAATCAATTAAGCTGCATAATAAATATGTAATTAAGAAAGTCAAATGCTGCACAATCTATAAATTACGTAGTTAATTAAGAAAGTCTAAGATCGTATGATAAATTTATGATGTAATAAAATAGTCAAAATAAGAATATAAAAGTGTAGCGATAAAAAAATAAAGAGTAGTATCTTTTGACCCAAATAAGAAAAGAGGAAGGGCAAAAGAACTTATATATATTTCTTGAGGTGGCACTGTCTTATTGGTCCAAAAGTGAAGTCCAGGGATCAAGACGGCTGTGACAATATTGCAAGTTCTTCTAATTTTTCTAATAAGAATATTACACTTGATAATTTAGAAAATATGTTCTTTGAGTTAGCTGACAATACTAATACTTCAATTAATTTTGAAGTTGATCTTAATGCTAATGTTTTTAATGAATTTGAAAATACTTTATATGAGTATAAGGATATTGCTAATGATTTTTTTTT